CACTTTCATTCGGAGATATTTGAGTTTCCAAGCTATCGTCACATTCTAGTGTGATTCTGATCTGAGCACAAAAAATTCGAACGTGAAAAGGAAAATTCAGTGTCAAAGCCATTTCAAGGGAACTTTAAGTTAAATATTCGCAGCTTGTTTGCTGTGTTAGGCTGTATTTTTTGATACATGTTCGATTTGTCTGTTCTTGTTTTTTAATCCTTTATCAGGAATCCTTTTAACAGTCGATGTTCCTGTTGGAATATCCTGTTCAGCTCTTAAATGTATAGTTTGTAATAAACATGTTTGCAGGTTAACACTAAATTAGCTTGTTTTTTCTGAGTTTTGAAAATTAAAAATAAAACAAACTGTTAGAAATAATTCAGACTCTGGCATTGGAGAAGCTTCTCTAAGACACCATGTGAAGCCGTTGCAAATGTTTCACCTTAACAGAAAGCTGAAGGGTGATTATTCTCAGAAGAGAGCGTTTTGATGGAATTTCCTGTTCTCACCTCCTCGAGCATTTCATGCAGGATGTGAATGGGTTAAAGTCTGAGTACATGTGGTGTTGTTGAAGCCACGGGGTTTTTCAGTATGATGTTGAGCGTGTTGCATGTAAGAACGTTTCAAACAATTCATTCATGTGTTAAAACAACCCAAATAAGGAAGAAACCGTTTTGTTAAAGGTTGAAACTGCTGACCCAAATCTGCTCTACATGCACACACCTTTTTGTGGAGCGTGTAAGTTCCCGTACCAGGACCAGTATCTGTTTTCTGCCCTTTTCTGTTTACAGTCCCTCAAACTCTCACGAGAGCACGATTTTTGTGGCTTGCAGTAGGACACAGTGTTCTTTTTGGACGGAGCACTTTCTTCCATTACAAGTGAGCACCAAACACCAGTAAATGCCAAAAAACACATCGAGCCTCTTAAAGCGCTTTTTTTTTTTCTCCCTCAAACATCTGCTTAGCAATTGTTTTTTTGTTTTTTTTCATATTGAAGAGGCTGATATAGTGATTTTAACTCTTAAGTGTAGTACAGGTAAAGTTTGGGATAAAAAAAATGCAGTAATTTGCCACTTCTCTTTATTAGTTTGCTTCTGTTTGTGTGTAGTTGACCTGCCAGTTAAAGCATGAAATGGGAAGTACCAAGAATTTCTGTGCAAACACTGACGGTTTCTTAGCTGTTGTGTGTGTGCTAAAGAGGATAACTGAGGTTTGAACTGTGCTGTTTAAAAAAAGAAATGTGCTGTATGAGGATATAATATGAACCAATTTCAGTTTGTCTTCAGTTGCTGTAGCAGCCTGGGTCACCGGCTTGTGCAGGAAAATCAGGTAAAACTCTTCTTTATAAACATACATTCATTGGATATAATGAAAGTGTTGGTGATGTCAAAAACAACCCCATTATTGTTTTATCAGTTAAATTCATATAAAGGGCAGTAAACAAAAAACAGTGTGTGATTGGTGTACATTTTTGCAAGCTCCTTGACAGGTCAGTTTTTGCAAACATTGCCACAGTTGCTCTGTGAACTCAGGCTGTCTCTGTGTCTTCTGTCTCTGAATTGAATTCCCAGATTGACTGCTGTTGAGGTCAGGACTCTGCTGCAGGACTTCTGACTCTGAAGGTAGTTGTTTTTCACTCTGGCTGTGTTTGGACTTTTGGCCCAGTCAGATGCCTCCCTGATCTTATAGCTTGACGGGTACGTATCTAAGTATCTAAAATGCCTCAAAACTTAAATGACAGCCCTGTAACACATCTTACAAAGGAACAGTTGAAGTTCTGTTGGGTCTAGTCGGACCAGCAGCTTATGGTGGCTACTTTTAATCAACATTTTAGACATTTCTAATGCTGTTTTGGGTTCCGCTGACCATTACTTAGAATGAAAATGAAAATAAGTTTTAAAATATCAACGTAGCTGGTTCATGGAAACAAGAACCGGACAAAGCTGAAGTCACTGTTTTGCAGACACAGGGTGTGGTGCCTGTCCTGTTTCTCAGGCTGCAATTTTAAAAAGTAAGCATGGAGGTGTTCTTTCATTTTCTGCTGCCTCTGTGTGAGAGTCAGACTCGAGTAGGTCACCATGTACGTTAGCATGTGTTCACATCAGAGTTTAGGTCAATACAGAGAAACGTTCAGCAGAGAAACCTTCTGGTGTACTTTTGTGTGGAATGAGACTTCATAAGTAATATGAAAAAAAAAGAAAGCGGATAAGGCCTCGATAGGGCAAAGCAAGGACTTTATCACTGTGTGTAATAAAAAATGAACTGCTTATGTACTGTTTGTGGTATGAATGAGTGTTTCACTATCAATGTCCTGAGGACACTACGATAAGTAAATTATCAAAGCGCTTCCGCTTCTTTCGGTGTTATAGAAGCTTCTACAACAGCGGCTCATTGTTATCACCACAGGACACAGTCCCAGACTCTACTTTGCACTGTCAGTCTCAGCACTGCCGGAGCGACGCAAGGTGTTAAAAACAATGTGGAAACTGCCGTCATGTTTTATGATGGCTACTATAAGTGCAGCTGCCCCACAGATACAGAGGCTACCGGAGCAGCGTTAACAGAGAGCTGAGTGGTGAGGAAGTGTGAACAAAGAGGCAAAAACCCAAAGTGGAGACGCTGTGACCAACAACAGAAACATCACATGAAAACTCAACACATTTCCACATATTTCAGTAAACCATAGCTGCTGCTTCGTGCCAAACCGTGCTCTGTCTGGGCCAGGAAAAGATAACTGCTAAGGTCAGCATGTACGCTGACGAAATTGCAAATACGTCGCTGTCATTTTGCAAGTGTTCACTCCTCAGTTCATGCAGACTCCACAGTGCTGATGGGTAGATGTCAGAAGGGAAAAGCAAAGGAGTCATTTAGGGTGCATTTAAAAGAGGTCCGATTACTTCTGCTTAGAATATAAGTTCCACTGGTAAAAATGACAAATAATTATATATTATATAGAACTTATATAACTTATACTGTATATATAACTTATCTTATTTTATGTTTAAATCTCTTCTATTTTTTATTTTTTGCTCTTTATTTTGTTCTTTATTCTATATTGCACTGAAGGAGCTGCTCTTAATCTCATTGTACATGTGTATAGTGACAATAAAGGCATTCTATTCTATTCTGATTAAAAGAAATAGGTCACTCATGCATTAAAAAAAAAAGAGTCACAAATAACTAATTAAATGCAGCAAAACGAGGAGTTTTCTGAAAATATCCAGTCACCAGAGCACTGACCTGCAAAATCTGTTGCATATTGAATGTTCTTTCAGAATTTCAGCAAGCAATCCCTCCTAAAGAAGTTTTACAACCTGATAAATGTATTTATTTGTCATAACCCCATGAAATATTCTATAAAACATAAGAGAAGAGCTGTGAAAGTGCAGCCGTTTTATATTAATGTTCATTTTGATAAAGTGACGTGTTTCGTTACGCGGGGCTGTGAAGTAAAGTGTTGCTTTCTGGAAGTTCCAGACCAGAGTGTGATGCTTATCTACGGCCGATATCATCGTAGTCTAAGACATCGATAGCGTTCACAAGTTTACAGCTGCGAAACCTGTGCAGTCAGATTTAGTGTCAGTGCAAGAAGCTCAAGCAGAGCTGACACTGCGCTATTCCAGCTTTATTGACGTATTAATCTTCAGATACGCTACTTCATGGCCACTAAATCAAATAGCCAAATATCGGAATTTATTATTAGCAGATAGGCCGATAGCGATCGTGGCCTCTCATAAAGCAGGTGCCTTGTCGGGGCAATAGAGGCGCTCGCTTTATCATTACATAACGCTGGCTGTGGGCCATTGCAGGGCTGACCTGCTGCAGAGAAGACCTCTGATTTATTTAACAAACTCATCCCGTTGACACACTGTGTGCTCTCAGCGAAGGCAAATAATGAAGAAATTGGACGAGTGACGTTGGTTTGACGTTCGAGCAGACTGTCGCGGGTTTAATTGAGACTGAACCTCAGCCAAACCCGGAAGATGTCACAATTCATTTTAGCACAAATCTGTACGTTTTTAAACGACAACTCGTACTGACTCTCCTGTCTACACACTGCTGCTTTTATACATTCTAGCTCGATTGCAAACCATTTCAACTCAATTACACCATTATGTAATTTTACAACGTGAGATCAGGAAACCAGAGATTCAGCAGCTGACACTCTAAAACAGATTAATGTGCAGTTTACCCCCCCACACACTGTTACCTACTCTGTTATCTGTCTAACTGAATATGAGCGACTAACACAAGGCGAAGTGTCAATTGCAAATGAAGTTCTGCACGTACGCCCTTCACCGTGTTCTAATTCATTCACGAAAAAACATGACACAGTTTGCTCGCCCAAAAAGATACCAACTATGTGCAGACGTCTAGTGCTTAAACAGCGTTATCAGTGTACCAATAACATAATGTGTTTATTAGCCAACATACTGACGGCTCAATAGTTCCATCAAACCAAAGTGCAGACAGAAACACACGCATGAGCGCATGACTTTTAATTACCAGACTGCTGCCAAACGGAGCTTATCGGTATTTCCTCAACTACTGTAATGTACTTTTATGTGACGATCACTGAACCATTATCAAGTTATGACCCAACATCCTACATATATATATATATATGTTGCAGCATACACAGTAGAGACAGTAGCTTTCTTTCTTTCTTTTTGTTTTGCTCAGCATTTCCAAAAACACACGACATAAAAAAAAAATGAAGACAGCACAACACAATGAAGTTATGTGAAAGAATAATGGTGTTTAATGGTCTACAGTTATGGCCAGATTTATCGTTTACTGCATTACAGAGGTCATGCGTGGGTCTGACAGTGCTAATGAGAGGTGCTACGCTGTGAAGCTACAGACTATATAAATACAACTACAATCAAAATATGCCAAAATCCTGAGAAAAAGTATGAGTTCCATCTAAACATATTGCCTGCTAATAATACAAAAGATTCCCCTCCCCACAAAACATCTCCGGGTCAGAACTTTTAAAATGAACACATTTGGGAGCCGTCGGCAAACGGGATACTCCGCAAATAAATTACAAGCATCGCACTTTTTTTTAAAAACAACACAACTCTAAAGCTTTACATTTCCAAATGGAACAAACTTTTTTTTTCTTTTTTTTTTTTTGCTCCTTTTAGTTCGACTGTACAAACAACGTTACATTCCATGACAATTTTCAACAGGCGTTTAGACAATTTTGAGTGGTATAAATCAACAGTAAATACAGCTATAAAAGAACTCAGAGCAGAACTGTTGATTGCAGAACTGCTTCCTTGAAATATAAAATTTAAGAGAAACACTAGAACAGCGATATTTCCCCCCTTCTTTTTTTCAAATGTTAAAACTCTTCTGACTATGGGCCATAACTTTACAAAAGTGTGGTTACACAGGTCGTGGATAGACAGGAATGTTGTTATTGGGAAAGGGTCTCCTCAGGCCCACCAAACAAAGGGCAGATTCAATCCATGTCCAAGCCTATTCATGCATTCGTCCTGTGCTCATCAGTATTTGCCAAGCTCACACTGGGCAGCGATAAAGCCATTCTAATTACTGGGTTGTCCTTTTGAACCAGCCCGCTCTTGATTTTTTTTTTTTTTTTAATGCTTAGGTCCAAATTTCGCCTCCCCCAGCAGTTTCCCTTCAATCAATTTTATAGCAATGTCATTTTTTTAAATACAAGCGTCTTGACCATCTCCAGCCTCCTCGGGCGGCGACCTTTTAGTTGTTCTCTTGTGAAACCGTGGTCTCCTGAGGAAAAGATCAAAAGAAGAAGTTAAACCAGGGCGACTCAACATCAAGTCAGAGGCTTAAATTAAGTTTTCCCATTATAATAAAGCACTAAGAGGCTATTTCACCCCAAAAAGCAACCTCGGACCACAACAGCTGCTGAGATCAACGGGTGTGTGTCGACTTAAGTTCATTGTGTACTCACACTCATGTTCTCCTACTATCTTATCTCCTCCGTTTGGTGTTGCAATCTAATGGACTCAACAGTGTTATGGTCAAGGTATGCTTATACAACTTGTAGATTTCAGATAAGGCCAATGTTGTTGGCAGGGTGGCCCAAACACAGGCAGAGACCCTACACTGTCAATTATCTCTTCCTTACGATTTTGGAATTTCAGATTTTATTTAAGCAAACTTTTATTTGATCATCTTCTCCCTTTATCATTAAAAACGCTCTCAATTGTTCAACTAAGGCTTGATATTACTTTCTATAAACATTTCCAGCCATCTGAAGCAACATTTTTTTTTAAAAATTCGAAACACTTCTAATGGTTAGGAAATGGAAACTTTCGGTTAATTGCTGAATCTTCAAGGGGCGCTGCTTTAATTGCTTATAGCCTCTGTGTAATGAGAGCAGCAGCAAGAAACTATAAAAACTTCCCCACTTCCTGCTAATTAGGTAACTGAGAGGACAGGAGAAGGCTGTATGTTCAGCTAACAGTTTGTAAAGTTGCTGCGTGTGTGGTAGTGTTCCAAAATGTGCACAAAAAATAAAATAACTCCATTACCAGGTGTGTGTATTTGCAGATTTAAGCCCGTGTTGTGCATTTACAGAAGCAGATCGTTCACACAATCTGTGACTCCTCAAGTAGAGGGTTCTGCTAGGCTGTAATTAAAGGTTTCTATACTGTGCTTATTGCCACAACATCACTAACTCCGGGTTTAGTCGACCACATTTACAGTCGCAAAACTTTACAGGAATAGATTCGGTACAGTTTGGGCTTGCAAAGACCTGGAAATAGTCGAGATCAGAGTTTGTTTGAGATGTTTTTTTTGTCAGTTTTCATTGAAGACGTGGATATTAAAGTCATAAAAAGTTGCTTACAAATGGAGTCCTTTCTCCGTATTTGCTCCAGAAGGTCATCTTGACGGTGTTCTTGTGGCCCGTCCGCTGGTCAAAGGTCTGGCAGAAGTCGAAGGGGGGACTGTACAGGTGCAAGCTCACTGCGCCCTCTGTGTGGCTGCCGTTCTCCACACGATGCAGACCGATGGAGTCTGAAATATGCACACAGACACACATAGACACGCATGAACAAACAACATATGTACATAGGAGTGTATACCACCGGAATGCTGGGAAATAGGACAGAGTTACTGGAAGTGATGTAACCGGCGTCCAAACATCACACCAGGGCTCGCTTTGCTTTGGGGAAATACGTATTTTTGGGGGTAGAGGCCTAAATACTGCTCATTGTGAAGCTACACAGGCCGACTGTGAACTCCTGCGAGACCCGTTTGACGTTACGTAACGGCAGAGGTTGGAAACTCGGGTATTACTGAGCGCTGTAAAACGGTATTAACTGAAGCCAGTCAGAGACACGTCACATCAGCATATCTTCAACCGCAAGGAACATTGTTCAAGGCCTGTTTGTTCTGAACGCAGCTTGGTCATCTTGGCTATAACAGTAACATAACAACGTGAGTGTAACACTACGTGAAATACTGGTGTTAAAGAAGCACACAAAGATCAGCAGATGGAAGCGGGTATTAATACTGCAGGAGGATAGAATCTGTCTTACCATTTATGTAAGCCACCTTGTTCTCCTGCAGGATTCTCTGCGACTTCTGGACCATGTCTCCCTTTTGTTTCCCGTCGGGCCACTCGAACAGCGTTTCCTTCAGCTGACCCTGCAGCAGCTTCATGAAACAATGGGAGTCTGTGTGGTCGTGGATGCTACTGCAGAGCGGTAAAGGAAGCACAAGGGTACAGTGTCAGGATAGACTCTGAGCCGTTTTGTGACATTTAGATGAAAAGCAAAGCGGACTCTAGAAAGGTAGAAATAGCCGGGGATCCGTCTGGAGTTTCAGTCTCTTAAAATCCTGTGTTGGCTGCTCTTGTGAATAACACTTGAGCATCCATGCTTGTAACCATGAGCCCTGTCACATCCCTACTGCTACATGTTCTCATTGAAAAAGCAAAAAAAAACACCAAGAAAAATCAAGAACAACAAACAACAGCAGTAAAATGCATTTCATAAAGCCACTTTAGTTAAACAAATGTCCTTTCTCATGTTGAAAACAGCTGCTAACGTCTGTCCTATAACATGCAATCATTTAAAAATGTCTCCTAAAGGTTTGTAGCACATCAAGAAACTTTCCTTTTCTATCAACCGCTGTCAGGTTTAGGTGACGTTTGCAGACAAAGTGGAGCACACGATATTTATCAAATACTGTCTATTTACACAACCTGTCTGGCAGTGACTAGAACATTGGACTTTCATATCTGTGTGAAGTAACTGGCAGAAAATCACCTGATGTAGTGGCGAGCAGTATCTGACAATGTAGTGTGTTGATACAAAGCACTTTTTTCCCATCATATTAAATGAATTATTCTTTTTCACAGGACGGTATCTCACCTGCCGTGGCCTTCACCCCAACAGAGGATGATGAGGTTGAACTTCCCGTTGCCCTCGTCCACCAGGTTCCTCGTGTATCTGGAGAAGAGCGCAGTTTGTTAAGCAAACCATTAAAACACAGGATGCACTTTTGAAGGTTTCAGACGACACCGGAGAGGAACTTGTGACGGATTTCATCACAAAAGTCACCGTCTGATGTTTTAGCTGCTGGTTTGTCAAGAGTTCAATTTGATTTATTTTTATTTTGAGGCTTCAAGCTTTCAGAAAACCTGCAGTGTACTTGTGAAAAACACACACGTGTGGATAGAGATGCTGCACTTTCAGTTTTGGAGTCCTCCAAATATGTGTCACCTGCTCTGCTGTGTGTTTGCCTTCCACCTCCCTCCCCTCCCTGCTCGTCACCCTGCACGTTTTGTGCTCTGAGCAAATGAGTCAACCTCCAAATATTTTCGAGGGGCAGCTGCTGGAGCATCGATCTTTGGGAGGAAAAAGAAAAAAAGAAAAAAAAGCCGGCGGGTGTGTTTGCTTCTCTGGGTGTTGATTGGATGTTCCCTCTCTGCCACCCTCCATTGAGCCTCACTGATCAAAACACTGGGAGCCTTTTGAACAGAGGAGCCCCCATTAAAATGAGGAGGAACCCGATTTCCCTGTGTTTTTTTTCTCATTAAAACCTACTTTAATATAAATTGCACGTGTGTTTTTCTTTTTAAATTCATGCAACCTGTGAGAAAAGTTTCTGTTCTTTATCTAAAAGTAGAAAAAACAATAGATTTCATTCACATATGATGATTATTAGAGGAGAACAACTTGTAATAATGGATGAATTTTCTACCTGCTTTGTCAAACTTTGAATTGATAAAACACACACTCAGCATGAATAAAAGAAAATGTAATAGCACAAAAAAGTAGTTAAAACAGGGCAAGGTGCGAGGGTGCAAAGTACATCAGTATAATAAATATCTGAGCAGATACTGGTTGTAAATATCAGCAGGATTATGAAACACAAACTTTTTTTTTCTTTTCTTTTTTGTTACCTGTACTGGTCAAACTTTGCGAAGTGCTTCCAGTCCTGAGGGTTGCTCTCATAGGATTCCATGATGTGCTGGACCTCCTCCACATTGATGGAGTCACTTTCGAAGATCTTGTGCAGGATCTTAATCAGGTCGTCCAGAGTTTGTGGCTTCACTACTTCGGTCTGCTCCATCTCTCTCTGTTTTTTTTTTTCTTTTGCGTTGCAGAAAATTTCTTGGAAAAATAAAAAGCCAGACAACTTTTGATGCCTCTCAACTGCTCCTCAGCTCAGCCCGGTGGCTCACTTTTATAAAGCTGCCGCTGCAATTTGGGGGCGAGCTGGTGATGGGCTGTACCATTATGGGAAAAGGGTGAACGCCCACAGCTCATATTCTAATTTAAATTACCTCTGGCTGGAAATGTTGCACAACAAAAAAACAATATGTGGTTGCATTTTCACTCACTCTCTAGAGATGATGCAGTTTTTATTTTTATTTGTTGTGTTTTTAATAATAATATGCACACATTAACATGTTGGACTAATCCTTTTGGAGAGCACCACGTTGTCACAAACACAACCTCCCTTCTCTCCTCTGTGTTTTTTCTTCTCTCTCTCTCTGACTGAGGCATTCCTCTAACAATAGCTGTGCAGCCTCTTTCTGTGGGCCTCAGAAACTCAGTCAACAGCTCAGCGGCCAAGGTGTGAGCGGAGCAGAGGCTCACAAACAAGTGGGGCTGGAAGAGAAAAGAAGAGAAAAACGTGGGAAAAAAACAAGGAGCTTGAATGATATCAAGGATGGTTTTTGGAAAGGGTGTAATTTATGCTGGCTTGAGAGTCTTCCTTCATATTTTCAGACCTTTAATCATCTTTGTTTTGGTTGTATTAGGTCAAGAGATTAAATTCAGAGAACGGTGATAAATAAATATTCAAATAAAGAAAACTTCATCTCACCAACAAACAAACACAAACAGTGTCAGGTCCTTGATGATGGATTATGCAATAAGGACATTTGTGGGTGTGCGTAGGTGGAAAAGTACTAAAGTAATTTATGTTATGATGAGATAACATGCAGTTAAATGGGAGAGTAAATAAAGAAAAGCAACTCCAGAATAAGCTACTGTTTGGAAAATGTGCATAGACGAAGACAAAAGAAAAGTCATTCAGCAGATGAGGCTTTGTTCCTGTCTGAGATGGAAACTGAAATTAGAGAACAGTCAAAAAGAAAGCGACCAGCTGAATGCTTTATGCTTCTGCCTCAATGTGAGCAGTATATCTCTAAAATCTTAATATTGCTGCCAACATCCTCCCAACGGGATGCTCCTGGAGCTGTTCACCATAAATCACTCCTATACATGCAACACATTCCTCCACAGACACATGCAGGTCATTCCCTCCACCTGTTTCCCTTCAAGACAAGAACCCTCATTGTGAGGTTAATGTGCATAAGATAAAATGCTTGTTTCTGCATCAGGGACCAGTGACAATGTCAGAAAGCTGAGGACACTTCTGAGGTTTTTGAGGAGACTGAGCGGTGTTCTTCCACATTTCAGAGCAAACAATAGGGTCAAACTGGAAGTGACTGGTTAGCAAACAGCTGGACGGAGATGTTCCAGCAGGAACACCAGATGTTTGTTTTGTGTGTGTCGGGCTGTTAAAGGAAACCCCTCTCTGGCCGAGGAAGAGTCCGAATTTACTGGAAGCTCAAAGGTTTGGAGAAGTTTCTTTGCATCAGAGGCTGAGCCAAGTTTTCCTCTGAGCTGCCACATCATCAATATCAGATGTACTTTTGCGCCACCTTCTGGCTGAAAGTTTAAATCTGCTTTAACCAGACAGGACCATCCATATGGATAAATAAACAGTAAATAATATTTATTGGCTAATTGGAAAGTGTTATTTCAACTAATTAACGTGTCTTGTGTGTCTTCTTATAAATGCAGAGGTCTGTGTAGTGATCGCATCTTTTATATTTATTCTATGTGGATTAATACAGAGTGGAAATGGAGGCGATAGATGATCTTTTAAATCTTCTGCGAG